CGCCCTCTCCCAGAAATGGCCAAGTACGCCCCCTCCCCTCCGTTGTTTCACACAACGATGCTGTGTCCTGAAAGGAAGCCGTGCCCCCGTCGCCGAACTGCGCCGGAAAGAATTATTAGGAAACAGTATGTAGTTCGAAGGATTCCCTATATCCTGCTCTACTTTCTATGATATTTATTGATCATTATTATTCATATTATTATTATTATTATTATTATTATTATTATTATTATTATTATTATTATTATTATTATTATTATTATTATTATTATATAACAACTGTATTGCAATGAACATGTATTAAAAATTTACCAGTAATGCCCTTTAACGTAAATATGTCCTTCAAACGGTGATCGTGTCGTGAATCGTACATTCAGACTTTCACTTCCACATTCTATGACTGGCTCACCTGAAAATCGTCATCGTATCACGGGTTTCGCAGAATCCAAGAAGATTTTATAAAATTTATTCAACCAGCGCGATTCGCATTATCTAATGAATAATGACGAATTCGTTCTAGATGAATGAATTGCTCGGTCAGTGCTCGAACCGTGAAAGAACCTTTGGCGGCGACTTTTCTTCTAACAAACTCGGTTTTGTCAAGGTCATACCGCCGTTGGCCACAAAATTCCATTCTAATAATCGTGAAGATATGATTTACATTAGAAATTAAAAGGGAGATGCATAAAAATCCCCTGTCCACAAGTAAACTTTTGTGAAGTGGTTACTGCAGTAACTAATCATTACATTGTTATTATTACTTATCAAGTTTACAGTGACGTCTATCTGTTTACCAAAGTACTTCTCATTTACAGTGACAATGAAAATGTGATGAAAGCGAAACTTATTCACTAAACTCGACACGGAACATAAAGCTAAAACTAGTACTGAATGTACTTTGTACTGCTACTTATTCACAAAACTCGTCTCAGAAATTACACGAGAGCTAAAAAAATGGCATTTCGATGTGTTCCTAATACTGGACTTGTTTTCTACTGCTACTTATTCACAAAACTCGTCTTAGAAACTATGCAAGAGCTAGAACATTACTTTTTGCCGCGCCCAGTACTCAAGGTACTTTTAGGAACTTTGCAGGGCTGATACAGGGACATTTAGTTGTGCTTCTAGCACTGGACCTACTTTTTAGGAAGTCTGCAGGGGCTGAAACAAGGGCATTCCGCAGTGCGTCTAGTACTGAGTCTACTTTTTAGAAACTCTGCAAGAGCAAAGGAGGGCATTCCCCAGTGCTTCTAGTACTAGACGTACTTTCTAGGAACTCTTCAAGAGCTAAAACAAGGGCATTTCGCAGTGCTTTTAGTACTAAAACTATTTTTTAGGAACTCTACAAAAGCTGAAACAAGGGCATTTTCAGTGCTTCTAGTACTGGATCTACCTCCTAAGAACTTTGCAAGAGCTGAACGCTGTGCTTCTAGTACTGGACCTACTTTCTAATGCTACTTACTCACGGAACTCGTCTTAGGAACTATACAAGAGCTAAAACAAGGGCTTTTAGTACTGAACGACTTTCAGTACATTCAATACTAAAGACTCTAGAATTGAAAGCACTGTACTGCTACTAAACGCGGTTTGTACAGAAGCTAAGCTACAAATTGAAGTCATTTACCTTTCAGAGAGGTCTCACTAATTTTTTTCATACTATTTATTATTTCAAACAGATACTTTACTCACCCACTAATCCATTATCTACTATATCGGCTAAGACTATTGGTACGGCCTGAAAAAATAAATTCAGGGTTGAAAAATTAGTGAAAACGAATCAAAAGCGTTTTTTGAACTCACCAATAATAACTGGATTCCTGAAAGCCGTTGAACCATCTGTAAAATGTCAAAATTAAGTGTGACCTATGCGTCATTGTCGCAGTTAGACGATGAAACACCAGTAATCACTCTCTAGAGAGAAGTTGACGACAAAACACGTGAAAAACGAGTATTTCAAAGCGGTCCAAGCTGAATAACACGTAAACGAACTGAAGAAAGTGAATCAATAGCCTAAAAAACGACCAGGCAAATTGAATTTAAAGGTTTGAAATATTGGAACTATGGGCAATGTTCATATGGGGGGTGTTTTGTCCTGCTGAACACGATGAGGCGTTCTACCATAAAACGTGACACTGGCATTGTTACACTCGAATGGAAACGTTCATGAAAAACTGCCCCTTCAATGATCTGACCTGGAATCGTCCATACCACCTCCTCATTGTAGGTTTTCCTAAACGAAAAGGTTGGCCAGGTGGGAGGATGTGTGTCAAATGTCAGGTGTATGTCATTCCGTAACCGTCACCTATACGCCATAGTTCAACCCACCTAAAGGAGGTCGACAAGGCACAGACACAGGGCCGTTCAGTAATATCGTGAAAATGCGCTAATCCTTATGTGGGTGAGGGGCGGGAATTCACTGAGATGAACGAGGGTTGTGGTATGGGGCGGTACTTGACCGGTTCGATCATTCTTCATCGATCGTATTGCCATCGAATGTTTCATTAAAGGTATTGGACAAGGTGATTGTGAGGGTATTGGACAAGCAGGTGATTGTGCAGGTATTCGGCAACCTGAGTGTATGAGAGCCCACATTGCTTTTCCTGCACTTGTGCATCTTAACAGACAGTAAATCGGCGAATGAGCAAAAGTTTCAAAGTTCCAGGACCGCAATGTACATTAGGCGTCTGTACTACTTCTGATGCCCTGAACACTTTACTAGATAGTTACAGTTTGCTGTACTGCTGCTGTTCGTGGTGATCGACTTGTTATTACTAGTATGTCGAGTGAATGATTGGAATTTCACAAGTTCCTGTACGCTTGGCAACAGTATTCAGGTTCTCTGAGGACGTTGAATGACAACTTGCCACTTGAGTTCTCTACTTACTGCAAAACGAAAACTTTCGGTGGAAATTACGGGAGGTCATCTTACGTTGACACGCGGAAGTTTTCTCACTAGAAAAAAATATAATTTAAATCATGCATCATTTGTTGATGTAATGCAGCTGAAGGTAGAGTTCAACGCACTACAGCAGAAGTAGATCAAAGAATAGATCAATGAATGATTAATGGGATGTCACAATGAGTATACGTTCCCAGAAGAGAATTCACAGTTGTCTCAGAAATGAGTTCATCTGGAAGAATGGCGGAACAAGATGATAATTATACATAGTGCTGCGGTATTTGGGGCAGAAGGGGGCAAGAGACCGCGCTGACCGCGTTCCATGTGGGCTCAGAATAAATCTGAATCTTTTTCCTTGTCATTACTGTTTCCTCATCAAGTATTTCTTCCTTCCGGGGATGGTTGATTACTGCGAGAATTACCTGCGAGGAAATTGATGAATCGGAGTTGTATATCGGCTGGCCAGGCCACCGTCGATCACCACAAGTATTGGCCAACGGGTATTCGATTGTGATCGGAAGTAGAATTGGTGGCGCAGCCATAAGTAGATAAAGCAGTTAGAGAGTCCCTTCTATCACCATGTTGCTGCTCAAAGATTGCACTAACTAGAGATGGAGCGGAAAAACGTCTGAACTTTTAGACCAAGATAGAAATGTTCAAAAGAATAAAGTCTCCGCTAATCAATCCCTTTGTGGGATGCGGCACGCATTCTACTTCCATTCAGAATCGTAGTGGCTTATTGAATGCGATGTGGCCTATACAATGACTTGCGGTGGCCAGCCGATGTACAAGTCAGTGCAATCCTCCCAGACGAATCTGGTACCAATATACGGTAATTACGGTCCCCGAAGGGTAGAAGCTTTGGTTGGCCTTGGAGCAAGTCGACCCGGAATTTGAACCCAGGACCGCGCGATTGCTAAGCGTGCCACTTGCCACTACACCATCTCCGCCCGTCCTTCTTCATATTCTCGAATATTCCAGTTTCATTAATTGATAAGTGCTGAAAATAAAGAAAAGGCTTCCCCAAAACATTGTGCTGCACTTCTTACCAAGAAACGAGGATAAGCTGAGAGAAAAGCTTTCAAGTGGAAGGGCTTATTAGGTGTAATTCTTACGCATATCCTGAAAGCATGAGTTTCTCGTTAGTCCTAATTGGGCCAAGCATTTAGCCCAGAGCTCACCATTCTTATGGAAAAGATGACTGTCGGAGGCTGTCTCTATCTTTATGAGGCTACTTACTTTATTAATAGGCTACTCACAAGGAACGTTCAGTGAACTTTCTTTAGTTTATTTCATTTCTTCATGATAGTTACTGTGAAAGAATGTTCAGTTAGATCATCATTTCAAGGAAGGAACCGGATGGATGTTTGACATACCAATGGGGAAATCGGAGGAATGAAAGCAGAAAGACGGTTTGAGAGACAAGGCGATTTGATCCTTGCAGACACTGCAACATATCTGCACATTTAGATGGATACTAAAGAACGTCAGAAAGCCTTGAATGTCTGGTTGCGGCGGAACAGTCGACGATAATTAGCAGTTAAACGGCGATGTATACTGCACAAGTTCACCTTGGGAATAGAAACTTGCCTGAAGGTAATGTGAGCTCTAAAGGTAACCAAGCATGTCTTAGCCCTAATCCTCAAACAGGATTCCTTGCCCCCGTCTGAGATAGAATGGCTATATGGACACGCTGTCAGTTAGAAAGCCCTATCAAAAGATTCCCATTCGACAACTGTTTGGGAGAGGTGTTTCTGAGAAATTCCGACGATTACTCATAGTAAGCTGCTTCAACACAGCATGACTACCAGAGCATCAATAGCCGGGCTACAGCGACAAATCCAGAACAAATCGGTTGAAACGGCTATATCCGGTCCGCCATCAGGGCTCATTGAAGGGCGTTGGGGAGGAATGGTCGCCGGGGGCGAAGGGAGAGAGGGAGTGTCGTGTTGACCTTTGTGAAGAATGTGTCCCGTCCTTCTCGGTTTTTTCTTTTCCACGTACGATATGTGCCCATCTCCGCCTCTTCCCCGTGACTCGAGGGCAGGTTTATGTGGAAAAATGCAGAATGTTGGGAATAAACGCGGGAAATGAGGTAGGAAATTTTGGTAGGATAAACTCAAGGAATGAGCTAGGGAGTTGGGAGGATTGAGGCATCTAGGGAGGGGCAAGAGGGCCGGAGTGGTACCACAGTACCATAGGAGGAAGCTATGAGGAGGGGTCGTATTTTGCCAAATTTTCCCCCAATGGCAGGACGAGCCCTGGTCACCATTATATATTCCGATCATGTGATTAGCACCTAATGCGGTGCTAGGCTTAACATTTTTTTCTAAGCTAAGAGGCTACCAAAAGCAAGAGCTGGCTGAACTTCTCGAATCATTTGACTTCACGCTAATAGATCTTCAATATTCACTCTCTACACCATTGTGAGACATTTCCCAACGAAGACTTGAGAGTTCAATACCGAAAAAAAAATGCAAAAAAGTATAGCATTGGCCAGGGCCCGGACCATCAAGAGGCTCTTTCAATTTTCTCCGATCTGTGCACAAGATTTTGTTTTTGAAAGTAAAATATGCTAGAAAATCTGCGCAAATCAAGTGCTTGTTAATTTGTTTGGAAATCAGTGAATGCATTGAAACTACTACAATGGGCCACTTTTTTGTTTTACAAAATTTTTTTACTGTACTGTAGATATTCTCCTCGTTCACTCGCTATGAATAGGCAACAACTGAAGACGTACAGAAACAAGCTGGCACTTCTTATGAATCTCAAGATGGGTTGTGCTACTCGGCTGGTTTTGTAACGCAGCCGTCTAGGACCGGACCAGACAGCGTAAGTATTCGTTAAAAATGCATAGCGGAGCTTTAATGCATGAGTAGGGTACCGTATCGTGAGGATGAGAAGAAAAACTGCTTTGGATCACTTAAAGGCGTAAGAGGTAGTATCGTCCAGTTCCTAGCCATACAAAAAATAGATTTCCCTCCTCAGAGACTTCTTGAGGATCTTATCTCCCTGCCTGAGTACTTGCTACTCCACATCCTCAGTCTACGTAGGCAAACGTTTTATGCGAGGAAAATGGATTCTACCAGTTCAGATATCCACAAACAATCGAAATCAATTGGAATAAGTCCGTATGTAGGCCAAATCTATTTGCATTGCTTTTAAAACCGCACGATTCAGCATAGGAAAATCAGCTGCTTCCCAAAAGCTTCCGCGAGTCTGGTTTTGTAGACGCCCCACAGAGTATTTCCAAAGCGCTGCAGTTTTTTGTTGGTAACGAGCAGGTGGTTTTATTGTGGGAACTGAATGGGCAGGGTTTAAAGTGGATTGAATTTAGAGGTATGGGAATAGAATTTCCTTTGATCAGAAGCATCCACCAACCGAACCGGTTGAGGATTCGTCAACGGGGTAGGGGAGGTCGTATTTGAGCGGCAAATTTTCTGACGTTTTGTTTTGCCGCTGGAGGCGCTATGCTCCCGCTACCTAACACCCCTCCCATCGACGACTGTTGTGGGCGACTGTATTTTAAAAAGGTCCGGGTCAATTTACCCGTTACTGTCCGTACTTCGAGATTCACTCCAGCTATTTGTCGGAATATTCTCTCGTTGTTGATTTAGCTAGTATTTCGTCCCTGGGAAGCATGACCAGGGTACACAACATCGAGATGGGAGAAGTGAAGGTGTCTGTCAACCTCACCCTCGAAGTTCTTCCTACGGTGGACCGCTCCTCCTGTATGCTACTACCATCTTCCTATGTGTCACTAGAGTCCTACCGCTTCTTTTCCTGTTCTGGAAAAAAATACCTCCTAATTTGCCGCCATAAAAAACTGCCTTCGAGCTGGACGGGGGAAATAGTGTGGTCCTTCGATAGTTCCGCAGGGCCGGCAACGAGAGCGGCACCGAGCTACCCAATACGAATCTTATCTCCAATGACCAAG